GAAATTTATTTTAGCAGATTTTTCAAGTTAGCCAATATAAGGAATGTAATGTTAGTAATGAGATAACAAGAACCATGGGTGAGGCAGCTGCACTGGTATCAGGGCAACAGCAAAGGACATTAAAGCTTTTATCACACAGTGCAAGATTAGGAAGGTCTAACGTACTTTGGTGTGGTCACAAGAGAGACACAGCAGAGTTACTGTCAGTTCATCTTCTCCTGAACAGCACCAGTGCAACAGGACTAACTCTAGCTGAAAGAAAAAGAAGTCAATGAAAAGAATATGCTTGAAACTATTTGACTATAATGATCAAAGTATGATAGAAACAAGAGAATGGTGGTTTTGTATAGAAAAAAAGAAATCTGTGATTGCTATATCAGGCTTGCTTTTTTGTCAGCACTTTAAACAACATAGCAAAGGTTGAGACAATTCTGTTAACCTTACTGGGAAAGCTACTAAAATTGTATGAGGTGTTAAATATAGCTTATATTTAACTAACAGCCTGAACTGCAAGCCTACAACCAAGATGCTTTGCAGCATATCCCAATTTTCAGTGTATTTGGCCAAGCTAGAAATGAAGCAAACTAATGGAAAAGTCATTCTTCATGTGAGAGAAAAAAAAACCACACCAGCAATTCCCAATCTTGCCAAGTTTCTAACTCCAAATTCAGAAAATTCCTCATTTACTATAAATGCAATTAAAGTGCAGCTATTAAGAGCTCATGGACTTTATTCTTTTCATAAATACTGAAGTTTTTTTATATGTTATAGTGTAATTTATATTACCATAGTTGTCACAAATGCAGGTGGCTGCTGAAATAATTCTTCAAGACAAAATTATTGTTCAAGTGTTCGCAGAACAGTCTTCAAAATAGTTATTTATTCTCATAATCAGAGAGAAAATAGTAAGTAGAGCACCCAGCAGACCAAAATTACTGAACTGTGTTATCACATACGTGCAATTAACTCTTGCAGCCTTCTGGAGAGATCATCCTTTCTACTTAACTTTACTTGCACTCAGTGTAGTGGAAACTATGGCTCCTACTCCTGCTGAGTTATGGAAGTGGTCCAGGTAGCCTGAGTGCAGTTTCATAAGGCTGGATCCCAGCTCAAAGCAAGAGAAACACCCAGCAAGAGCAGTGAACATACAGTGTGCCCAGTACAACATTTCTGAACAAGCACCAAGAGCCAGAGACCTGTCCCTGGGAACAAGACCAGCAATGCCAGCCTTTTCTTTGGGATCTTCCAGGACCTTCCCCACCCACTGCATTCATTGCACATTTTTTACAGCACAGTGAGCAGTGTAGGACTTCAGCCTGTTCTATTTCCTTCTGAACATTTAATCTGACATTTTATGCTTTCTGTTCATATAATAGAGAGCCTAAGTACAAGAAACATTTGTTTTTCTGTTCAGCATAATAAATCAAAATTTAGAAGGGGAATATAAAAACTAAATAGAAAAGCACTGTTAGAAAACACAGTAAAGATACTGCACCTAAAAACCCTGACTAATAATTGGGTAAAACTGACACAACAATCAAATGGAGATACTTTCCATAAACCAAAAGACAGATATGTTAAATTTCAAAATGCTAAGATATCATAGTATCTCTATAAAATGCAAGTATCTAAAACATCATAAAATAAAAACTCAATGTCTTTCAATACTAAAAAAAGGAAGTCAGAGTAACAGTCAAGCCCAAATGACAGATGAACCTTTAATCAAGAAATAAAGCACATTTAGTGGCTTTTCCTCTTTGAGAAAATTCCTGAACTGCTGCTCACTAGGTCAAAGTAAAATCTGGAAGGTGAGAAAATCCCCCCTAGTAGCCACATGAATGGGATACTACAGCCACCAAACATTTTCTCTTAACCACAAACAGATTATAATTTACAGTGTAAGATTAAAGAGCATTTTATTACTTCTCAGTACCATTCTGCCCTTACAGTGCTGTAATTATGACTGGTCAAGTAGATCTTTAATTTTCACACTTCAAATACTGATTATCTGTGTTCTGCAGACACCTACAAATACATACATCAAAGCTGTCAGCTTCCACAGAATGTTAACCAGGGCCCATTGTCCTTACATTCTTTTTGCAGTTGAATCCTGGTGCATTAGGTCTATAAACAGGTCCACTTAGTCATTTTCTTACAAGCTATTCATGTAGAAACTATAATGCTCTGTTCTCCCCAGAAGCTTATAATACATCACATGGATAATTGCATTTGAAAAGATTAAGCATGAAACACAAGAAACACCGATAAAATTCAAAGTACACTGAGTCATCACAGGAGAAATACCATTATTTCTTAAAGAGCAGATAGCATGGGGGGGATGGGGGAAGCCAGAAAAAAACCCCAAAACAATACCAAAAAAAACAATTCAAGTTTCAAAGTGCAGATTCCTGTAAGCACTGAGCAAGTGTATTAGCCTTTGAATTATACACACTGACTTAAGACACAGAGCATGCCAGGAAGTATGAAACACAAGCTACAGTAGAATTAGCCTCATATACACCCAACAGGGCATAGATCTTCACTAAAGTCTCCTACAACACGTAAAAAAACCACTCGTACAAATAATGTATTGAGAGAAGACTTTGTAGAGCTTCTGCTCTTCTGAAGCTAGGAAGTCTTTCCTAAAAATTAAAGTCCAAGTCTGTATCTCTAAATAGTGACAAACACTAAATCTGTTCAATTAAATGCAGCATAACAGGAGACAGTTTTCCAAAATTGTTACGTGTATGCAATTGTTTCATATGAGCCACTGTATTTTGAACAAATTACCTCTTTTCCAATCATGTTAACCATTATCTGTTTTGACACTCATTTAAATAGCAAGGATTCAACCACTCACTAAGTAATTCCATTTGCTATATATTAACAGTGTTTGCTGTATCCTATCTGAGCACCTTCGGAATAACTTCCACTGTTTTTCCCATTTACACTTCATTTAGAAAAAGTCATGACAAAATACAATGCCACTTTTGAAACTAATAACAAAGTGTCATTTGAAATGGTTCATTAAACTTGCAAAACATGCATAGCATCCTTCCTATTGAGCCTCTATATTAAAGACAGTAAATCCAATTTAAAACAATTTTTAATCAAACTCAAGTGCTGGAAGTCCTTAATATGGCAACTGACACTATTCACAAAATACAGAGGGCAAGGTGTACATTTATTTGACTGTCAGACTAGTTCAAATAATGAATGAGATTTTAAATTAATTTTGGTACAGCAACATGCAATTTTTCCAACTATTACACTGACTCATTTAGTGGAAAATATTGCAGGCAAACATTTCCCAAGTTCAGTTCAGTAGTCACTGTAATCAGCAGAGATACTCAGACTCAATCACGTCTTCTTTGGAAGTATCCAGAAATCCAACTTGTTTGTGTTATTAACAACCAGTAAGTGCCAGCCCCTAGAGAAGGCAGAAACAGCCAGACTGATATATGAGAAACCAGGGTTCCACCTGTTCAGAAGGAGACGAGAAGCCATTTGTTTCAAGTATACTCAACTTCCCCAAAGCAGAGGGGTTTGCATCCTGTCTGACCTATGCTTGGTGATTTCCCCAAGCCCCTGGGCCGACAGAGCTCTGTCTTAACCCCCTGTGTTCTACCAGTACTGAGTTACAAATACCTTTCTTCAGAACAGATACTGCTAAATGGAACTGTGGTATCTGGCTGCACCCCAGCACTGCCCTCTCTCTTTTTCAGTGTCTCACACTCTAACGAACTCCAGCTTCCCACTTTCAGCAAAGCTGAAGGCCAGGACCTGAAGATGAGGAGAAGACATTGCCCACTCAGGTCATAGGACACTTCAAGGGTCACTGCTCTGCTGCCTGTTTAAGCCTTCCTGGCAATGCTTATCCTCCTAGGAAACCCAAATGCATGAACATTCTACATGGAAACAGTAAACAAGTGCAACAATCCTCTGCTTACTGCATTCATTGCCCAGTTATTCACCACATAAAGACACTGTTCAGATTAAACTGAGCAATGAGATAATGTTAAAGACTTCAGAGCCTTTCAGAAAGCTCCAAAAATTTATGTTTATTTTTGAGATACCTTAATTCCTGTCGCAAGGGAAAAAAAAAAAAAAAAAAAAGAATGCCCATTCCTCAGCACACAGCACATTTCAATTCTTTTCAGCTCTGTCAGTTATTCCTGTTTGGTTTTGTTATTCTCCAAATTATTACAAAAACATTGCTTCAGGATCTAGCTGTTGGCACTACAGTATTTCAGCTTCCACTCTTGCTTTGTAGGTGAGCATGTTCCATAATTAATTCAACAGTAATAGTCAAGAAACTAATGCAAAAATGCAACTTTTTTTTTTCCTGGTAAAGACATGAGCCCCTATTTCTGAAACATTTACAGAATCTGCACCAGTCATTCTTATCTTTTTTATGGAGCTTTTAAAGATTGACTGCATTAACTAATTAATTTGTCATTAACTAATTTATCTACTGACCAGAGAGAAACTGACACTGAGAAATTATTAGTTTGGAGGTTAAATTTATTAAAAACAGTACAGTAGTGACAGAATTTAATCATACTTTTCATGAGAGCATGGAAGCACTCACAGCTGCAGCAATTTGTGATAAATCCATGGAGAGATTCTATGATGGGAGTGGAATTAATTTGTGTCACCCCTAAGAGTATATGTGCTCACTCAACAGTACCTGTATTAAACAATACTAAAAAACACAAATTGAGCAAACCAAATTAACTTGTTGTTTGAGCTAGCACATGATACATGCCCTTCAATATCAAGATACAGTAATGTGCATCAATAAAATCCAAGGGATCAGAGGAGAGGTCAGAATGACCAGAACATGAACCAGAACTGTCTTTATCTGTGTGAATGCACTTGAGTAAAGAACCCAGCAATGCAAAAGGACGGGGAAGAGCCACTGAAAATACACCACCAAGCACAACCCCCCCACCCAAAATCCAATCACTACATCACTCTGGAAACTACCACCAACTTACAAGTGCAGCAGAAGAGGAACCTCTGGGCCCAAACAAAGAGAGCAGCGATGAGATTCCCAGATCCTGTGGCAAAGAAATAACAGAGAGAGCATGAGAAGATGGAAGGATGAGCTGCTCCAACCACAGGGACTCAGGCTTCTGCAGCAACCTCATTTCTTCACTGAGCTGTTTTCTGGACCTTAATACAAGAAACCCTGAATAAATGAGACTCACACCAAAGCAAGGATCTAACTATCCAATAAACTGGTTTGTTTTTTTGAATGAAGGATGAAATAAACACAACTTGGAAGACTCTTTTGTTATTAACTCTTAATAACACAGTACTGGCCTTGTCACCCTGTTGTGGTGTGTGGTACACAACACCTACAGCTCAAAGCAAGAGCTGTTTTTGCTGTTTATACACAGATAATCCAAATGGCTTCAATGTGAATCCTGAAAGAACCAGTGACAATGTTGTGGTAACAAAGTTTCCAGCGTGCATTGTACAGTTCTGCCCAGAAGCCAAGGTACTCATGTTAAGCAGACCATTTGTAGAAGGGAGATAATATTTTGTCCTGCTTTTGGTATTATTGGCAAGGTAACTTCTGTGTGTGAGCAGGAAGTTGCACTGCAGCTTAAGACAAGAGCCACATTCGCTAGGTGGTAGTGTCAAACAAATAATAGTCCTGCTAACAACTAGAAGGAGCTATCAAGACAAATCAATATAAAAAGAAATTACAATGCTTATGTAAAACATTATTGTCTATTCATTGAAAAATTACAAACCACAGAATACAACTGATCTAGCAGCATGGCCAAATTGTTATTGATTTGCATTAAGAATTTTTCCCTACTTGACATTTTTAGAATTTTTATATAACTGTATATTAAGGCTCGTAGTGAAGATGAGCTTGATTATAAATTCCATGCATCTGCTGAGATATGCCATTCTGAAATTAACTGTCTTGAAACTTATATTTAGAGCATATGAAAGTAATTCAATTTCCCAATATTAACTCTTCTTACATCAATACCAGAATTTAAGATAGGTTGCATTCCTGCTCATGTTGTAGAACAAAATCAAAAGTCTCTTTTCTGTGGGGCCAAAAGAAACAAGTATTTTTTAAAAAGTTTTTCAAAAGCAGAGAGTCAGCTGAGAAGGCTAACATTTAAGTTAGTGAATAAATGTGGCTTACATTCTAAATAAATGTAGAATGTCACCAAAACTTCTGAAGTTCAAATCATGAAAATATGATGATTACATCTAATGACACATCATTCTCTTTTTTTTAATATATAAGCAATTCAAGTCTGCTTTAATAAGGATTTTGGCATACAATACAGACATCTAACATTCAAAATAGACTACTGACCTCAGGGGTAGCTATTCAGCCCCACAGGTACAGCAATGATCAATTGAAGAGGCAGGCCAGCATCTCTGAAAATGATACCTCTTTGTAGAAACTCTGATTATGCAAACATGTAAATTAGCCTGGAGAGAAAGTTACAGTAATGGGGGGATTCTGGAGAGTGTTACACTCCATTATGATGGAGGTTATCAAACACTAAGAGGTTTGTTTCAAACAAAATTCATTAACATTTTAAAAAAAAAATTAGAGTTATTTTCTCCCCAGCTGCTATAATTTCCTGTTGAAATTAAAATTCCTGTGTGATACCAAATGATATCTGACTGTTTGACAGAATTTGAGAGATACATTACACATGTAGCTCAGTACACATGAAGCTCACTGAGCTTCACATGAGCTATCCTCAAAACTCAAAAGTGATCTAGTGATACTGAACACTACAGCTATTATTGTTTTTGTGAGGGAATTTAACATTTAAGTTTCACAAACCACTTCACTTCCTGATTATTCCAGGCCCTTATCACTAAACGAAATTTATCATGTCTTTTGTCCTCCATTGTTAATCTCATACCTCCATACAAGGAATTAATCAGAGAGCAACAAGGCAGTACACCTCTGATATCTAATATCATTAGTGACATTTCTTTATTAACAAGAAAAGAGACTATTTATCAAAGCTCCAGCTTCAGGTTTTACAAGCAGCTGACAGAACCATGCGTCCAGCTTCAGAAACAGAACCACACTGAAGGGGCACAGAAAAACATTTTTTTGATCAGTACCTGATAATCTACATGCTCATCTGGACAATTCTAGACTCACAGTACCATCTAGCTTGGCCAATATTTGCCCTGTAATATTTTACCTGCTGTAGAACATTCAGGTCACTGAAGCTGCAGCCCCCTGACCAGGAAAACAGTGCAGTGAGAAGAAGACCCAACACACCCCAACCAGCAGAGAGGACAAGGCCTGGTGCAGACAGGCCACAGCTTAGCAAGGGAGAAAAATTAAATTATCATCACAGAACAGAACACAAACTGGGTCAAAGTAAACAATGAGGAATGTTGGGGATGGCAAAGCACAGAAGTTTCTAAAGGAAAAAAATTGCAGTGGGCTTTGCTAAGAATGTTGTGGCTTGTTTTATTAAAATCATCAGTATCTTTGGTTAGACAGGCCTTTTCTTCAAACTGCTTTTAACATAAAAAGGAAACAATAAGGGACAAAAAAATTATTATTTCTTATAGCCCCCTCTACAAGCTACCTGAAGTTAAAACACAGAAAGAATTAAATATCATATGTTGCAAAATTCTTTTATTTTTATCTGGTATTTCACTTGATACTCAAGGAGAAAATTGTGTGCTACTCTGAAGATGCTCCTAAACTAAATTTCCTTGTTCAAATTAGAAACTTTGACATTTAAAATGAATTTTAATAGGGTAATAAACTCAGGATATTTCATAACTCTATCCAAGATATGAGGCATCTCTGACCTACTGACAGCTTAGACTGAATGAAAGTCATCATTAAACACTCATGAAGCAGCACACCAACAGACACTTTGGAGTGAATTATTTGAGTGGTAATGACAAATATGAAAAAAAAAAAAAGTTCAGCCTCTTATTAGAACTACATTGTGATATTGTAATTTCTAAACTCAGTACAGTTATATGAGACGTGTTATAAGTCGGCCCAAAGCACCCAGTAATTGTGATTTCTGTGTACAAACTGGTGATTAGGAACATTTACAAAATCTTCCTAGAAACCAGGCCAATGTATAAAAGAGAAACAGACTTCTTATAAATCATACAGAAAAAGGAAATAGAAAATACTCAAAGTTCTTATTACAAGAAATTTAGAAGTTCATTTTCTAAAAATTATGTCAAGTATAAGGGAGATGTCCATACACCATATACACCAGTGCAGCCTGGTTTTATTAGCACTTCAATAAAAAAAGTCTTATAATGAGTTGTTCCATAGGCAACTTCCAGCCCTGTTGCTTAGCATAGGAAAGCCTATCCCTTCATCCCCATTTCAACATAAATATTAAGTTGCTTCAGCTCCACTGATCTGTACCAGTAACAGAGGAAGATTCCTGAAACTACAAAATCTCACAAGTTCTCACTGATAAAATGAGACAGGTTGGTAGAGATTTACTTGGTTTAGAAACCAAATTAATTTTCTGCTTTATCAAAACTGGATTTAAGCAAACAGTCTCAATTGAACACTATAGCTTTATAACAAATTCTGAGTTTATTGTGCAGTAAGATGGTGCAACAGTACCATTCAAAAAAAAAAAAAAGGAAAAAGAAAAAAGAAAAAACAGAAAAAAAGAGGATTAAGGGAGAGAAAATGTTCCAAGAGAAAAGACCTTCATTAGTACCATAAGTCTCCACTGCAAAAATACTCAAAGCAACTGTACACCAAGTAAATCAATCTGATCTGCACCTTGCCCAGAATATCTATCAGTCTGTCATTCCTATTGCCGTACTTTGAGGGGAGACATGCACTCCGTGCACAAAACACATCACATTTGATGAGACCTTTTAAAGGTCAGGATTTTATTTAAGAAAGTGATTCAGTGCTGGTTACTGAGTTACTGCTCAAATGTAGAACTGATTCACTCCTCTATGCCATAATCTCAATGATGAAAGCAAATATGGGAACTACTTCCACCTGACTTTCTGTGGAAGGAATATAACATATTCCTGAATTAACAAAGTCAGAAAAAGCCTGGAATAACACAAGAAATAGAATATGCATTTCTACAGGTATCAATAATGGAGTTATCACGAAAATTCTGTTATAAAATTAGTTCTTAAAAGCTGAGATCCAAAACATGGCTTGATAAAGGATTAAGCAAATCAATTGTCTGCAAAGCATTTCTAAATGTTTGCTCTGTGGGTGACCATGAAAGAGAATGTGTTCCCTAAATGCAGGCTTTTGACTGAAGTTCAAGCTGTGCATGTTTTCCAACAAATCTCATTTCATAGAGGTTTAAGATAAAAGTCAGATTCTTAAATAACTGAATTTCAGACTAAGTATCAAGAGAGGAACTTAAAGCCCTTACTGATGCTTGAGAACCAGGTAACCCCAGGGGGCCATGACATGATTTGTGCTTTGACTGTCTGTGAGCAGGAGTTTTCCTCAGAAGATGGGACAAGACTGGGGAACAGTGACACTTACAACCAACCAGAAAATAAAACCACCATTAAGAAATGAATGGCTGCAATCCCCTGGCCAGCTGCAGATAAACAACGACCCTACAGTTCTTCCCCTCAATACACAAACAACAATGAATCGTTCAGGTGTCAAGGCAGGAATCATTTGGTCAAAAAGCTGTACCTAAAACACCTGCATTAGCATCAATCATGCACCAGAATGTTTCTTTCTCTCAAGCAATACTCCTTCCAACTCCCCTAATTAAATCTTCTTATTCATTTTACAACAGAACAACAGATTCTGACAAAGCAGCAGCAGTCAGGATTCTTGAATTATTAAAAAATTTTTGGTACATATTGATAAATGCATGTTTCCAAATTATTCTTCAAGATAGAAGAGACAGAGTCAGATACATAGGGAAATACTCACAAGTGTAAAAATACAAACATGTGCACACAATATGTGTGTGAGCAAGAAAGAACAGCAAGGAATTCAGACTGTATCACATGAAAAATTTGACAACCCTAAAAGTAAATATAAAGTACATAAACATTTTAAAAT